GATATGGCTATGGTTTAGTGAGTTAAGGGGCGTATTTAGGTTGAAGAAAAAAATACTCAGGACTGCTAATTTTGAAACTAAGCAGGGGTGAACTAGGTTTAGGTCAAGATTTAGATTTGTTTTGGTGGATTTAGGTTTGGAAGGATTTTGGTAACCCTAAGAAGAAACTGGGGTTAGGCTAAAGGATTAGGCTAACTCTGATATCGAACGATACCGGAGAAAGTGGTTGGAGAAGATTCAACAAGAACAACAAAAAAAACAATCAATACAAACACAAGATGCATTAATGAATTAAAATATACAAGATAAAAGAGTTTTTCCTACTCTCGCAACAGATCAGGATACACAAGTTACCACTTGAAGGATTAAATAATGAAGAAGACCCCATATATCACCACCAGAGGAGAGATACAATTGCCACCACTCAATACCATGAATATAGACCTAACCCCATCTGAGAACCATGATGAAGCACATGCCCTCACAAAACTCAACTGAACAAAATCCCTACTACTAATAAATGACTACATATTTTTAATCAACAAAAGACCTAAACACAAAAAAAGCTAACGGACAAAAATACTCTTAAGAGTAGAAGGCAACCCTAGCCCTACAGAAAGGGTCGATTGATCCACCTTAAAATTACCTGATTTTTATGTACATTTAATGCTCCATTTTTTAGGATATTATGCTTTAATGAATATTATTTTTATGTTTTTAGTTATAGGTACAAGAAAAAGAGTTTAAGAGTAAAAATACATAAAAAATGAGCAAAATGAGCTAAATTGAAGAAAAGTATCAAAACAGTGTATCAAAGCAGCCGAACTGGCACCTAGGCGTAAGATGCTGAATATGGCTAGCTCCTAGGTGCGACAGTTGAGCGCCTAGGTGCGACAGTTATGTTCTAAAAGATTCATTGAATGAGGCCGAAGATGTCTGGAGCAACCCTTGACCATTTTTGAAGCTCTATAAATATAGATTAATTCCAAGAGGTCAGGGGGCCAGATCTATAGAGTCTCATAATGTGTGTTAAGTTTGTGTTAAGCTCTATGAAAAGTTTTCTTTGTGAGTCTGTTATTTCTGGATTTTATGAGTCTTGTAAGTGTTGTTAGAGTCAGAGAAGTCAGAGAACTTCAAAAGAGTGTTTGGGGTAACATTTCAGATAAGTATTTATATCATTGTCTCTTTTGTTTTGTTATCCACATGCTTCATGAGTGGTTTTCTTTTCTTTCTCCTTGCAATATGAAGTAATTAAATAAGTGATTTTGATTTTGTTTAGAACTTTTATTCCTAAAAATTGTGATAATATTTTTACCGGTCATTCATTTACATGACAAGTTGGTCACTTGTATTGTTAAAACCTGTTGAGGAACTTATAAACCCGAAAGGGCTAAGATTTCTTGATTTGTAAGTATCACATTCTGCCTTGTAAAGAACAGTCGTGATCGTCTAAAGGAGGGTGTAAATAGATAGTGAGATAAGATTTGATGCGCGTAAAATTGATGTTTTTAGAATGACAGACTAAATTCTTTCATCAATTTAATCTAGAGATTGTAAGTAAGAGTCACAGGTAAGTCCTAAAGAGAGGGCACAACGATAATCTAGAAGTGAAAGACTAGAACCTACCCAACATTATTGTACATGCTGACACCAATTTTAGATTAGCCAATATTCTTTGCACAATTCGAAAGAAAGTAAAGAACTAGCTATGCTCTTATTTGTCACAATACGACATTTAAGTTTCTAAATAAATTTTGAAATCCTAAACTGATTATGAATTATTGGCAAGGAGAAAGTTTTCTTGCATACAGTAGAATTTAGTAAATTTAACTAAAGTTTTCTTAAAGTCAAAATTCATACATTTCATTTTATTGTTTGCTTGTTTTCTACTTCCTCGTGGGATCGATACTGAGGTTTTTAAAAAAAATTATATATTATTTGAAGCGATACGTATACTTGCATAGTATCCCTAGTGAGAAAACTATTTCTTTAATTTTTATCATATTAAATTTGTTCTCACTATCCACTAAATATCATTTTGGTCAATGTTTTGACATATTAAGGAACATAAATATCTGCATAATTGTGAGTCGGGTCATCGGCCCTCCCCCATTTAGACAAAACCAGTTCAAGGTCCTCTCCCTGCCACATATCATGATGCTTTTTAAAAAACTGTTTATCACAATTTAGATTTCTACTGGAGACATCAAAGAAAAATCTCTACCATACGTCCCCTACAAAACTTCACAAATATGGTGATTACGATTGTACATGAGCTTGTTCACATCTCTATGTAATTAGCAATAAAGTCATTTGTTAGGGTGCAATAATCGATGTAAGATAACAATGATGAAATCATTGACAAATTTAACTTATATAGGACTAGCTTCATGGGTGAAGTCGTATTTAACCCTAACCACAATAATAATAGAAATACTATTACTGAAATTCAAAGGTTACAACGATGATTCTTGAAACAAGAAATAAAAGACAACAAGCATAGTCAGAAAACTTGGAGCGAAGGCGAAGAGATTGTGTGGCTGCAGGCCAGCAGGTAGGGAAGTGTTTTGTTGAAGACGATAGCAATAGGGAAGGGTATGAGCCGCGAATGGATCTAGTGGAGTATTTGGGACAAGCTGCTGCAGCGACGAGAAGAGTTGGGGAGGCTGCAGTGGTGACTATTGTGTCAGAGAGAGCGACGACAGCAGTCAGATCAATTGGATAGGGTTACGGGGTGAGGGGTGGCTGGACAGCAGCTCTAATAGCTGCAGAAGACGTGAGGGAGTGGACTGGTTAGGGAGTGTCGGCAACGGGCTGGCTGAGGAAAGGAGACTTACGAGAAAGTCGTTGGAGGAGGGAGTTACAAGAGGTTGAAACATTCGTGACTGAGAAGGGGCTGGATTCAACGGTTGTACGTGAAGGTTGGGTGGATGATGGTAATAATGGGAGAGGTAGGGGGTATATTTTAGTGGTTGTATGGAATGTTGGAATGATTCAGTGGCTGGAGAGTTTAGAGGTCAGGTCATGTGGCGGCAGTTGAAAAAGGTGAAGTGGCTTGCGGCTAGGATCATGGGAGGGATGGAGATGGCAGCTGGAATCAGGGGGAAAAGGGTTGCAAAGAGGGGTAGCGAGTAGGTGAGATGAAATGGAAAAATAACTATTCTCGCGGAAGCGAGTTACAATCAGAGCTCCACTCAAACCCTTGAAGAAGATCACCATCTCGGACGAGTTACTACTGGTGCACCATGTCGCCTTCAGAGACTGTCGTAGAAGGGAAAACAACCTCTAACGACAAGATGGACAGAATTCTAAAATCAGAATGACAAAAACTAAACCCTAGGACCGGAGCATGCATATGAATGGTAGATGGATAAGCGGGAAACAAAAATAGGAAAGAGGGAGTAATTGCAGCAGAATAAAAAGAAGGGGAAGGAATCAGTTCAACCCCAACCCATGTCAATGGGCCAACCGAAAGTAATTAATAAGGCTACAAAAAAGCATAATGATTCAATTTGCAAGGCATTTCTAGACCACTTTTGATTTTAGTTCAATTACTAATTATATATATATATATATATATATAAAAAGCTCAGGCTGATTTTATTGAAATAGAAAAGATACATAAATCCAATAGAGGCACCCTACCCATACGATACCAAGTACAGTGATACCCCAACAAAAAGATACACAAACTTAAAAAAAATTTAGAACATGCAGAAAAAAAGTAGCCAGGGACGAGCCAGTTTAGTCCTATCTCTTCTAATTTTAGGAGCGGAGTCAGATAACAAACTGTGAAGAGTGGTGATATTGTCAGGAGTAACCAAAGTATCTTCCATTAAGTTTCCAAGCTCGAGTGTGCCCCAAGTCTTTTTCTTCTGCCGAGAATTTTAAACATGTCATTCTTCATCTACAGACTAGCTCATGTGACCCTCGGCCTGATTAGATATTAGAACTGCAGTAGAAGGAAAGGCATCCGTTGCCACAACGATAGGTTCCAGTGTATGTAAAGTGTGAATTGTCACCTCTGCATCTGAAGCTTCCTAAATAAGAGCTATGGGGTTATCCTGATTTTCAGTTCGAACATTATCTGTTGTAGTATGGTCAGGAGAAAGAATCCCAGGAGCAGACACCAACTCTTGTTTTGTGGTGATTCTCTCCTCATGTTGGTTGTCATCAGGTTTGCTGGGAGCGCGTTCAAGCACGTGAGGTGTACTAATAACATGTTTCTGCTTTTGAATATTGATTCTCAATTGTGAGTGCAATCAGAAATATTTCTCTTGCGGGTGTCCAAACATCTTGCAGTGCTTGCAGTAGTAAGGTTTTTATTCCATAATTATTTTTTGCCAATAAACATTGTGAGCAGAGCCAAGTCAGACTTCTACATCTGGTAGTGTAATATATATTTCAATCAAAATTCTTGCAATAGGGAGCCTTGAGAAATGAATTGTAGGTAAGTCTACCTGCAAAGATTTTCCAAAGATAATCTCAATTGCATATAAGATAGATAGGTCAAAGAATTGAAGCTTGAGTTCAAGTAATAAAAACCAGATTGGCGCAATTGGGGGTTCTTGACTGGGATCAAAATTAGGGGTCAATTTGAGCAATTTCATAAGTTTTCCCTCGATTGTGATGAATTTATTTCAGAAAATCTGTGTAATTTTTTTTTATGCTCAGCTGAATCATAACATGTCTTTCGTCGAAAAGACTCATCTGACAATCCCCAACCAGTTTGAAATCTTAAAGAACATTCCTAAAAATCTCAATCTAGGGGCAACCTAATTGAAAATTTCCAACTAGTGTAAATTTGTATTTTCTTGCACGAGTTGAAATTTCAGAGTCAGAGAATAATATTGCTGGTTTTTCCATAGTGTTGGTTTGTCAGCATTTTCTCTACTTTTTTTTATGAGATTGCAATCTCAATGCCCTGCAACAAAACCATGGTACATCTGCGGGAACATCGGACTATCTACAAGTTGGAAATGGGAGCTGCGTTTGTGAACCATTGTAGCATCGGAGGCGGAATTATCACCAGCGAGGGCGGCGTAGAAAAGCCCTGAGGTCATTAACATGCTTCACACAAGCACAAGAGGAGCAAACAGCTGGCGCAGCTTGCCGACTGCCACCGACAAAAGGGACTCGAGCAAAACAGTCGAGCGGCTTTGACGTAGCAAAAGCTGACACGAGAAAATAGAGAGACAACCTTGTATCAAACAGAGCACAGAGGCGAGCTCCAAATGACGCGACACGAGTCCAGAAGACGACGCGAGCTCTGGATGGCGACGAAATCAAACCGCAGCAGACGCGACGACCTCGTATCAAATGGAGCAGAAGACACGAGCTCCAGAAGACGTGACGCGAGCTCCAGAAGGCGACGCAAGCTCCGGATGATGACGATGCGCCCCCTTCTTCTTCGAGCATGACGAATCGATTGACGGAGGAGAAAATCAATAGGGACGCTCGGTTTCTCCATCGGGCGAAACCCTAGCGAACGAAAGAGCCATCCTAAGAAACCAATATTTAGTTTTGCTTTCTGGGTGAATCTGATATGAGTGAATTAAATCTCTGTTTCACCTACCACCCAGAACAAATTATAACCCTTCAACCAGTTATGGTTTATCGATATTAAGTTTTCCAAATTATGGACCTTATGGGTACACCCACGAAATTAAACAAAAACCTTGGAAAGTTGAAGGGGTGTTTACATACATATCAAACATTATTATGTAAATACATGTCTAACAGTTAATCTTTGTTCTCGACATTTATACCACCCAAATATTTCATATAACATAAAAAAAATATTTAAAACTAAAAAAAACTGAATACGCCTTTTTTCTATGTACATAAGGAAAAAATATTACATCCGGGTCCACGGCAATTCTCTCGAGCTGCTCTTCTGTTGCACAGTTTTCTGCTCGACCTTCTGGATTACTCGCGTACTGTTCTGCTCGGGTATCGTTTCGTAGAAGGCAGTCGATTGCTGCAATGCTTGTGTGAAGCACGCTAATGGCCTCAGGGTCTTCCTACATTGTCGTCGTCGCCAATGATAACCCCGCCAAACCCTCCTATGCTGCAGTGGTTCACAAACGCAACTCCCATTTTCACCTCGCAGATACTTAGGCATTCCCGCAGATGTACCATGATTCTGTTGAAGGAAATGATTATTGCAATCTCATTAAAAAAGTAGATAAAAAGGCAGACATACTAGCAATTTTCTTCTGACGCTGAAATTTCAACTCATGTAGGAAAATACAAATTTATACTAGTTGGAAAGTTCCAATTAGGTTGCCCTAAGATGGAGATTATCATGAAGGTTTTTGAAGATTTCAAACTGGTTGAGGATTGACAGGTGGGTGTTTCGACGGAAGACATGTTATGATACAGCTGAGCGTAGAAGAAGATTACACGAGGATCTTCTCAAAGAAATTCATCACAACTAAGGGCAAACATATGAAATTGCTCAAATGGACCCCTAATTTTGATCCCAGTCAAAAACCCCCAATTGCGCTTATCTGGTTCTCATTACCTGAACTCAATCTTTAATTCTTTGACCTACCAATCTTATATGCAATTGAGATTATACTTGGAAAACCTTTGCAGGTAGACTTACCTACAGTTCATTTCTCAAGACACTCTATTACAAGGATTTTGATTGGAAAAGATATTACACTACCAGATGTAGAAGAAGTCTGACTTGGCTCTGCTCACAATGGTTATTGGCAAAAAATCATTATGGAACAAAAATCAACTGTAAACACTGCAAGATATTTGGGCACCCGCAAGAAAAATAATTCAGATTGCACCCACATTTGAGAACCAATAGTCGAAAGCAAGAACATGTTATTAGTACACCTCATGTGCCTGGACGCGCTCCCAGTAAACCTGATGACAACCAACCTAAAGAGGGAATCACCACAAGTCAGGAGTTGGTGTCTGCCTCTGGGATCCCTTCTCCTGACAACACAACAACGGATAATGTTCGAACAGAAAATCAGGATAGCCCCACAGCTCCTATTCAGGAAGCATCAGGTGCAGAGGTGACAATTCACACTTCAAATACACTGGAACATATCGAAGTGACAACAATTGTCTTTCCTTCCACTGTGGTTCTAACATCTAATCAGACCGATGATCACATGAGTCAGTCTTCAG